GGTTGACAGCCACTCGCCAGCCCTCCCACCTCGTCCCCTGCCCCATGGAGCGGCAGCGCAGCCTTACAGGGAGAGGATGTTGCTAAGTAGATGTTCGTCCCTCCCAGGAGGGTCTCTGCAACCACGTAGCATTGAAATCTCTTAACGTTTGGATGCAAAACCCTGAGTCTCCATGGATGGGAATTTCAAGCCACCCAACTCGTTCCCTTTGCCTACTGCAGTGCTGATCTGTCATCTTTAACACAAGAGTGAGGAGTGATCCCAGTGGTGATGGCTCTTTGGAGCGAGGGGGTGCAGGGAAGAGGCCCCAGCAGTCAGAGTATCTTGCTTTCATCCAGCGCTTCCTGAGCACTCCCGAGCGCTCCGGGCAGCTGCCTGGTAGCACAGGAAAGCCCAGGGGCTGGGAAGCAGCAGCAGCAAAGGGAGGAAGGACATGGGAGGGAGCGCAGAGCTGCCCAGAGACCCTCGGCAAGGGAGGATCTGCACAGGCCAGCGCTGGAGATACAGCTCGGCCTCTCCTCAACCTTCTGGCAACCTTCTGTCCTTCCTTCCTACTGCAAGGAAACTCTCCACTTGGAAATAATTAAACCTCCTCTGTCCTATTCTATGCCGTGTGGGTCTGAAGACTTGAGTGGATGTGAGCTTGAAAAAACACCAGGTGACTTAAACCTCCCGTGATGGCTTTTGCCTATAGCCCACAGCTGGAAAAGGGTCAGGCTGGCCTAAAATAAGATGTTTTTGTGGATGCAGTTCTGTTGCTATTCAATACAGTTCGTTCCTATTCAACACAGTTCTGAGCAGTGGGAGAGAAAATGCCCTGGGGTGGCAGCTCCTGGGCCCCTTAAGCCAGGCTATTAACACCTTTAATCGGGCAATTTCCCGGTAGCTGCTGCCCCTCCCGTGGCTGCGAGGCACCGCTAACGCGCAACCGCCCGCATTAACACTTGCGATTGTCATGAGCAAGCAATTAGGTCACGCTCGGCCCGGCAAAGCGGCGGGAGCAATTATGACCATCCTATTAAAACTGACAGAGCTCACCCTATATTTAGAAACACG